TCTATCTATCTATCTATCTATCTATCTATCTATCTATCTATCTATCTCTCTATTTATCTATCTATCTATATATATATATTTATGGATGGAATCTGGGTTACTCATGGATTGATTTAGTTTTTTTTTCCTACATGTGCAGTAACATGTTTAGTCTTGTGGCCTACCGACTTAATTCAGTTGTTTTAGACAGGAATCGGCCTCTCTTGACTCTCCAGACTGTCCTGAGCAGGTCTGGGTCCGGTTTTCCTTTAACAGCTCAGGCAGCGTTCAAACATGGCTCATGGATTTGGTTTGTTATCTTTGTGCACGGTTGGAAATCTTCTAATTTCTTAATTACTCAAATTGCCAAGACTCTTTTTTTAAATAACATTTTATAACAACTACCTGAGGACTGTTCTGTTTGTGGTGCCTCATTCTCTGCATTTCACGGGTTATAGTTTATAATACAATACTTCTACTTAATTTTTTATTTCATTTGATTTATTTCATCCTTAACGCTTCTTTAAAATGCTCTTTTCTCTCATTTTAAGACTTTTATGACTCAGTTTACTGTGGAATTTTGTTATAATTATGACATCATTATTATTTCATGTTATTATCTGGTGTTATTGTAATGATAAATTGAGTTAGTCACCATGTCTGTGTGTGTGTTGTGGAACCAAAGCTGACGCTGACTTTGACTGAGCTCTGCCTGCTCAGCTTTGCCCTCTGAGGTTCTTCCAACCGTTTAACTCCTCTTACATCTCTCTTAAACTACACCTTCTTCTTCTTCTCTTCTTCTTCCTCTTCTTCTTCTTCTTCTCAGAGTGGAGCTCCTTTAGTTTTTTGTCCCGCTGACGATGGTTTTAATGGATTTGTTTCTGCCTGCGTGTGCTGGAAAATGTGGTTTCATCCCACTTTAGACGTTACATCATTTCCGAAGCGGGACCGACGATGCACGTGTGTCGGAAACCCCCCCCCCCCCCGCCCCTTTCCTTCCCTCTGATGCACACAAACTGATGGAGGTGCAGTTTTAAAGGTGGAGGCGCTGAGTCACCCCCTGCTGATGCTCATCCTCCCGACTCAGCGGTTCCTCCCCCGAGCAGAAAAGCTGTTTCACCTGCTGAGTTTCACTTGTTTTTTATGACTTCCTGATCAAAAAATCCAGTAAAACTTCCAAGAGAAAGCTTCCCCGGCATCAGTTAAACCAGAAAAGGCCTTTTTTTGCTGTCATTCGGATTTGTTTCCAGCAGCCGGCAGCTGCTGAGGGCTGATGGGATTTACAGGTGGATGTTTCCAAACAGACTCTCGGCTTCATTCACGTTTGTGGACGGTCTGTCTGAGGAGTGGAAAAGGGGCTTAGCCCTAATCCTGCGGCCTAAGCCCTCCAACCCAGGCCAGGGGGTGGGGGGGGGGTCTACAGGTGCATAAAGGCAGCTGTAGGACTGAAAATCAGCATCTCCTCACAGACTGCCAGAAGAAAGAGGACTACCTCTTTGTCTTGCAGCTGCTTTTCGGCTCCACCTTTCGCTCAGATTAATCAGCTCGACGCCCAGAAAGCAAGTGAGTTCCATTTCGAATTTGACTTCTCTTTGATTTAAGGAATTATTCTAGGAAATGTGTGTTTTTTGTTTCCTTTCTTTTTATGGTCACATGTAAAAATATACCAGCGCCGATGCTTTTTTTTCCTATTTCTACTCAGTTTAAGAGCACAAATCTAAACCTATTTGGATCTTTTTCATTATTAAGCCCCCTGATCTTGTTAATTTGATTCAGGTCATTTTTCCCCATTTAATTCCACAACAGTAGAAAACTGTCAGCATTGGGAAATTATTTGATATTTCCTTTAAAAATCCTGTTTGATATCCAGTGTTATAGTCTGTTTCTGTCATTATGTCATTTTAAAAAAGGGCTAATGTTGAGTTTTTTTTTATGTCTTCCCTCCTAAAGAGGAACTAATGCACATTATTATTAGTTATGATTGATATTGTTAATAATTAACAGTATTATCTCATTTAAACTTTTTTTTAAAGGGCTAATGTTGAGGGTTTTTTTCTTACCTCCTAAAGAAGAACAAATTCAAATTGTTAATAACTATGATTTATAATGTTAATGATTAATAATATTATCTAATTTAAACATTTTTAAAAAGGACTAATGTTGAGTCTCTCCTCTTAAAAATGCACATTTTGGCAACTTTTTGGTACAGATTTAAAAGCTCCGCAAAACAGAAACATGTCTAAAAAGTATAAAAAACGTATTTTCCTGTGGTTCAGAGTCTTGAAGATGAACGCAGCAGCGACAGCAGCGGCAGCAGAGGGCAGCAAGCCCGTCGCCTCCGAGCTGAACCAGAAGGAGGCCCGGCAGTTCAAGAGCAAAGCCCCCAAACCCGGACAGAGACGGTGAGTGGGAGCTCAGGCCTCCGGGGCTTCAGCCTAATGGGCTTCAGTGTCCTGGGCAGTAGCCTCCTGGACAGCAGCCTGTGTGCTGACCTCTCTTTATTGTCCCGCAGCTTCAACGGCGGCCTGCCCGGGACCGAGGACTTTGAGGGTGAGTGTATGGCGGCAGTATTCCTTTGGGCTTACTCAGCGGCTTCCGCTGCACTGCAAAAAAGGGGTGTCTGAAAACAAGATAAAAACACTAGATTTGAGGTTAAATGTACTCAAAACAAGTGAAATTATCTGTCCATGCAGCAAGATAATTTCACTTGACAAGATTTCTTGAATCAAGATAATTAAATCTAGAAATAAGCATGTCTACAGAGGTGTTAGTAAGGCTTAAAATGAGCTGAAAATGCTGGTTTTAAGAACAGATTACTTAGAATTGTACTTTATACAGCCCAAATTAAGTGAAATATACTAAATATAAGCATAAAATGCTGGTTTTAAGATTCGATTACTTATAACTGTACTTTTTTGAGGCTCAAAATAAAGTGAAATATACTAAATATAAGCATAAATTGCTGGTTTTAAGATCAAATTACTTGTAATTGTACTTTTTACAGCCTCAAAATAAAGTGAAATATAACTCTTAAAATAAGAAATTCACTCTTAAAACAAGATAAATTATCTAACACTTCTAAATCCAAGTTTTTTTTATCTTGATAAGTATCAAATAATTTGCCGTGTGGGCGTCCACAGCCTCCTCATTTCGGTTTCTGCCCGCAGATAACGCAGTGGTCTGCCCCTGGGAGGACTTTGGGGAGGAGGAGCTGAACAACCTGGCTCAGTTTGGCATCATCTGAACCCGATAAGGAGGAGGAGGAAGAGGAGGGGAGGGGGGCTCCAAATGCTTCCGTTCCCAGTGAAGGAAAGAGAGAGGCTCCACCCTGAAACGTCCACTCGACCCCTTTCCGTGACGGTCGCCCCCAGGATGCAGGAAACATAAGAGCACGCCGAGCAAACCCGCCGAAAGTCGGTGTTTCTGGTGGTTTTTATGCTTTCTGGATGTTTGTGGACGCGGCCATCACAGGACGAGGAGGCCGGCTGCACCGTCCGGTGTGGGATTCGAACCTTTTTTTTTTAAATAAACGTGGGCGTGAACGCAGCTCCGCTCGGCCCGTTCTCTCTCTGGCCGAGCTTCTGTTTTTCTCCACGGCCTGTAAAAAACCTGCTCCGATCGGAATAAAGCTGCTTGCTTTACCCTTTTTTTACTCTGGTTTCTTATTCTTATTCTTCGACAAAACTGAGGCTTCTGGTTAGGAGCCCACTATGTGCAGGTTGAGAGCCCAAAAGGTCAAAGTTCACAGTATGAAAGAAAGGATGGAGAACAGCCCAGAAATGTCCAGAAAAGATGGGAAAAAAGCACTTTGATTTTGAACTCATTCCAAAAGCCTCGAGCAAACGAGAGCTTGATGGGATCCAGGGAACCTAAAAGAATCAAACTGAGCTTGTATTTCCTGCTCTGGATAGAATTTATCACAGTTTAACAAAAAAAACTGAAAATCTATCAATAAAAAAAGAAAAATTAATTTAAAACGATGGAATGATTATCAGAGAACTGTAGTGATTCAGTTTTTTGTCAAGAACCAAAACAAAACCAGACAGGCGTCAGAAAGAGCTGAACACTTATCTTATCTGTACTTTTTCCAGCCACATGAGTCCATTAAAGACGAGTCTCACCAAAATGAGCAGATTTATTTGTGTGTCAACGCGTCCAACATGCAGAATCCATCCACGACTTGTTTTGTGAGGTGGAAATGACCTGGATGTCTGAGTTTAGACATCGACTAATTGAGAGCCTCACAACCTCCCCACTGTTTCTAAAAAAAAAGAGATTACACCATTAAAAAATGAATGAAAGACCCTCATTTTGCTCTCCAGTCCAAGTTAAAGAGATCTAAATGAGGTTAAACACAATCACCTGTAATTAAAATTGATTAAATGAGTCAAATCAGTTTTCAAATGAGAGTCCAAACCCCCTAAAAAGGTCGAACTAAACAGATAACACACACCCCCTCCATTTAATCTGAATGGTTTGTCCCCAATTAGGTGATTCTGGTCAGGTTTTCCTTCAGTGTTCAAACTAGGACAGCAAATAAACCTCAGAGAGGACATCGCGTCAGCATGGATTCAAAGCTACTACAAAAACGTCTTAAATCAACACAAATCATTCTGAATTAAATTGTATTTAATTGGGCCTATTTGGGCGTCTTTGTGCCTCTTTGTGCCTCTTTTCTCTTTGGGCCTCTTTGGACCTTTTTTGTGCCCCTTTTCTGCCTCTTCTGGGCCTCTTTGGACCTCTTTTCTGCCTAATTTGGACTTTTGGACATCTTTTCTGCCTCATTTGGACCTCTGGACCTCTTGTCTGCCTCATTTGGGCCTCAGGACCTCTTTTCTGCCTCTTTATGGCCTTTTTAGGGATCTTTGGGCCTCTGTCCTGCAGGTTTTTGGAGTTTCCCTGCTTCAACACACCTGATTCTGATCAATTGCTGAGCTCTGCACAGAAGTGCTGATATGAATCAACTCCTTAAACTGAAATAAGATGGAAGAAGTCATGGAAGCCATTTCATGGCCTCCAAAGACAGCAAATGTGGGCATTTGTTTCATGTACACAAAAGCCAATAAACTGTAAAAGGGCTGTTTCTGGGACCCAGATGTGGACAAATAACACAGTGGGTTTGGAAATAAACTAGATCTATTACAAAGACTACAAAAAGTGAATGAAAATGGCAAAACTAATAGGAAAAATACAGAAATTGGGAGAAATCTGGACTTGGTGAAGGAAGGAGGGACGACAGGGAGCAAAGAGACCCGACCGGAAAATATGGAATGCAAACAAGCACAAAGGAAACCACAAAAACGACCCAAAACCAGAAAAAAAACACAACACAACTCTGTTTTTATAACGTCCAAAGAGAAATAATCTAATTTCCTCCTTTAGATCTGCCCCGGTGCCAATTCCTGAGCCGTTTTTCCACCTCACAACTGGTCAGTTTCTGTATGCCGAACCCCCAAAAGATGTGAATTTCTGTCATCAGAACTTTTCTCCCGCAAAATCTCCCCGTTCCTGCACCTTCAGAGGACCTAATGGTTAAGATTTGACCACTCAGAGAGGCGATCTGTCCCCAAACGGGTCTGTTAATTTCCGTGTTTGACTGTTTCAAACTCAGTAAAAGCTCTTTCTCCTCTTAGTTTATCAGCTTATGGTCTCAAACTGACCCAATCCTCCTCTTGGGGACTAAATAATTTCTAAAATCAATTTAAAAACAAACAGGCAAAGAGTTAAAAACCTCAAATATCTCAAATAAAAACATTACTAACTAATGTAAATGCCTTTTAAAGATGGCTGCCCCTTTGAAATTCACCAATTACCTTCGACTATTGAGGCTTACCATTAAACCCTGACCCTAAATCTACCTGAGCCCTCAGGGGAGGCTGAACCCTGCAGGTGTTCCAACAAAGGTGTTCAGACCAGGAGACAGAAAAGAGAGACTGCAAGAAGATAGAAGACCTCTTCTTTGTCTTGCATCTGCTGTTCCGTCTCTTTCTGCAAAGAGAAATCTGACATCTGCATCAAAAGGTGAGTTCACTGTCTTTTGGCAGGAATCAAAGTATTTATTGGACAATTATAAATCGAATTAGACTCAAAAGGGGCTGGAAAACTGTCTTGGGAGATGAAATCATCATAATTTAACATGTAAATTAATACATTTTCTGCTCTTTTAATAATCTTTTTGTGGTAATAAATTAGCAGCATTGGTACCATTAGCATTGGTACGAATGAGGAAAAAAATTCAAGATGTGTTTGATTAATTGTTAAGTTATGACATTTTAGTATTTATTTATAATAAATGCATTATAGATTCTTTAGGTTTATACAACAATCAGGTTCCAGCTTAATGTTGCTGATGTTTCTCTCTTGTTAAAATGTCTTTTTGGATTGTTTTGGATCTGCAGAACTTTGTTTAACCCCCATAACAATAAGATTTTTTCGGCCATGACCAATTTTTGTGACTTCGAGAAAGAGCAGAGTCATGTTTGAATATTTTCCACTGGCCCCAGCAGCGCAGCCACAGATGAACCATGACGTCGTCAGACATAATCGTGTTAGCAATTAAATCTGCAGGGAACAGCAGCGTCCAGCATAATCTGTACTGTCCAATAATAACGATGTGATTAGACCCGGGGCTCAGGGGGGGCTCATTTTCCAGAGAGAACCAACAGCAGCTTGACAGACTGCTGTTGTTTCAAAGGAGCCTCAACAGGTAAAACTCTAAGGGGTTTCTTTATGCAGGAGAAAAAAGTACAGAAAGGCTGAAACACCACAAGAAAACTTGATGGGGAGATTTACTGAGGCAGCTGTGAACCATCAGCCAATAATCTACGCTCTTGATCAAAACTCCTAATGAGTGTAAAAAACACAAAAATTAATCAGTTTCTTACATCCAGATGCTTAAAGCAGCACTCTGTCAGAAATAGGGCCAAAACAGGAGCTCGATCATGCCTCCTGACACACTTATGAGCCCCATATTTCACATATTTGGACTTTTAGAGGCCCTGAAAGCTACACGTATGTTTCCAAATTGTAAATACACGAACTGCAGAAGAACAACAGCGTGAACTTTGAAAGGATCCCCCCTCCAGAGACGAGTCTTGGACTACAAAGGACCTTCAGGTGCCCTCAGTCTGGAGCAAAAAAAAAGTCTAAATAACAAACACTGCACCTCCACGAGGGCATGCACTGTAACATGATGGATAAAAAATAAAAAACCCTTTCCGATGAGACCCAAAACACCCTGCGGGGGCAACTAAAGTGGCTCAAAGAGAAGGAAGATGAGGTCCCAGAGCAGCTGGTCGGCCTCTAGACCTCATCTGGACCTCATTTGGACTTCAGATAGACCTCAGCTGGACCTCATGTGGACCTAAACCCAAATCCATGCACATCATTTGATAAATTTAACAGCTCCCATAATAAGCCTCTTGTCTTGTGTTATACACATATATGGACATTTGTTGATTTTTTTGCTGATCTGGTCGCGATAATAAATAAATAAATAAATAAATAAATAAATAAATAAATAAATAAATAAATAAGTAAATAGCGGTTGGATTAATGGATTAATTCAGTCGCATAAAAATCAAATGAAAAAAATTCTGAGCTCGGGATTCTTACTCTAACCCTGATTTCTCACATCTGTCCGTCAGCTCGTCTGCTCCTGAAAAACGTCTCTTCTCAGTCAGATGGATTCGAGGGCAGCGGATGAAGCCAAACCGGCTCCGGACCAGTTCAAAGAGGACGAAGACCGAGAGTTCACGAGCAAAGCGTCCAAACCGGGTCAGAAGAGGTGAGATGAGGTCACGCAGTTCATTCCCCCGACAGCCGTTTAACCACCCCCATAACCCCCCCCCCCCTCTGTGTTTCTGCCCATGCAGCTTCGGTAGCGGCAAGTCCGGGACGCAGGACCGTGAAGGTGAGTGTGCCCTACTGGTCCTGGTATCTGCCTCCAGCTGGACTCCAGGTCTTCAGCGTCCTCCACAGAAAGAACAGAAACTAAGAAAAGCTTTAAAGGCTCAGAGAACCCAGAATGAGCCCGTAAGACCCAGAATGAGCCTGTAGGTCCTGGTTTATGCCTCCAGCTGGACTCCAGGTCTTCAGCGTCCTCCAAAGAAAGAACAGAAAGGAAGAAAAAGCCTCAAAGGCTCAGAGAACCCAGAATAAGCCTGTGGGACCCAGGATGAGTCTGTAGGACCGAGAATGAGCCCGTAGGACCCAGAATGAGTCTGTAGGACCTAGAATGAGACTGTAGGTCCTGGTATCTGCCTCCATCTGGACCCCAGGTCTTCAGCGTCCTCCACAGAAAGAACAGGAGTCCATAGTTTAGCCAGCAGGGTGAGCCCTAGCTGGACCAGATGTAGCCCCTACTGCTTTTCTCTGTCTGGAAGAGATCTGCTCAGTGGACATTAGAGACCAGCCCACCAAATTCAAGGTTTAGGTTTCAGGGTTTAGGGGTAAAATGCAAAGAAAGGCTCCCAGCAGGCAAATGAGGCAGCAGGTAGAAGCAGATCTGCACTTAACCAGAGAAGAAGAACAAGAAGAAGAAGTAGAAGAAGCCACAGGGCATTTAGAAACATATAAATTTAACTGTGTCCCCCGTCAGTAGCCTGAGCCTCAACCCCCCAGGACAGAAATCCTACAGCCTGTCCTGGCTGTTGAATGGAGTAAAGCAGGGATTTGTGCACTCTGTGCCTGCAGGCTCTACAGCCGTCTGCTCCTGGGAGGAGTTCGGTGAGGCGGAGCTGAGGGAGCTGGCTCGCTTCGGCATCATCTGAGCAGCAGCTCCCGACCTGGAAGGAGGCTCCGCCCCCCCTCCAATCTGCCCCCGATCCACTCCAACCAATAAATGACGGAAACAGGCGTCTACGCGTCTCATTATTCATGTGAGCGGGTTCTGTTTTCATGTTCGGCTTATCGGTCAAACTCAAACTCCAACAGAAAAGCTAACCTGAAACACTGCCATCAGATTAAAGTTTAGAAAAACGCGAGCAAACTTGCTGCCTTTTAGTACAGCGTTTCACAAACGACTGGCAGCTCAAGGTGTCGTTTAATTAAATTAAATTCAATTTTATTTATATGGCGCCAAATCCCAACAGCAGGTTTCTCACAGCGCTTTCCAAACAGAGCAGGTCTGTCATGACCGGAAGACTGACTCTGGTGCAGGCACAAATGACTAGCCAGACAAAGTGAAGAAGAGGACTCTATTTTCACTCTAAAAAGCAAGATGGTAGAAGTGGGGTTGCGAGAACGGAGGGTGTCCGGGAAGACGAGCACAGAAGACCACCAGGGGTGAGTCCACCAGTTTGGAGCCCGAGAGGGAGGTGAGCTTAGATCTTAATCCAAGACAAGGTGCTGGAGGGTGCACGGGCGGGCGAATAATCCAGGGAGGAATCCAGAAACTGCGAGAAGGACTCAAGGGGAAACGCTGAGGATCAAAGGAAGACAATAGGGTTAAGTTCTCTCTCTGAATGAAGATATTCCAATGAGCTGTGGAGCTAACTGGTAAGTTACCAACTGTATGGAAATCAACCAACAGGCTCCAGCTTCGGGGAACACGTCCCTCTAAATACTGCCTCCTGATTGCAGCAAATGGAAACAGCTGGAGGTTCGCCCTGCCTGAACACACCCTGGGGAGGAGAGAGGTAACAGGCACTCGAGGTTAACGCGAGCCACCCAGTGGCCCAAACAAGGTCTGACCGGACTCTGAGTTATTTACAGAAACCCAACAATTCCCACCAAGGGCAAGCACTAGGCGACACAGGCAAGGAAAAACTTCCTTTAGGAGGACGGAATCTTGAGCAGAACCATGGCTCAAGGTGGGCGGCCATCTGCAATAGGACTAGGAACAGTAGTTGTAATTGTAGCAGAGTAGAAAGGGGGGTGGGGGGCAGTGGGAGACTCCCAACCACAGATCCAGACTCCACAGCTCCAGAAACACCTGCTGTACGAGAAACGAGAGGGAGGAGAAAGCACACGACTAGTAAAATGCATTCATGGAATGAGGTTGGGGGAGAGAGAGAAGAAACACAAGAAGAAGAGGAGAGGGGAGCTCGGTGCATCATGGGAAATCCCCCGTCAGTCTAGGCCTTTGGCAGCAAGACTGAGGGTTTAAGAGCAGAAGACCCTTCAGAATAAATGCGCACGATAAAAGCAAACAGTCTCTGGTGGAGCTGAGACCTCCAGCAACTCTGAGCACTGATTACCAGCCGTTTTAGCTGCTTTTAAACATCAGGAAATCAGACAGTTTAAGGCCATTGAGGCATCCCGTAGACATTCGTGTGAAAACGCAGCTGGTTTGTGTCGCTTTCCACCAAAAGATAAATGAAACGTGGAGCTGTGGGCTACCAAGAGGGGTCCTGAAGAGTCCTGAGGAGTCCTGAGGAGTTCAGCCTCCCCAGATTAACACCTCAGCTTTCAAACTCTGTGGGAAACCTGCGAGAAAAACTATTTTCTTGATGTTTTATTCGTATTCGTAAATGCATATTTTTGCAGCTTTCAGCTTTTCTTTCCCAGTTTCTGCTGTTGATCGAGGAAATTGAGACACTGGGGATTCTTTTAATGTTTCTATCGCACAAACTGAGGTTTGTATTTGCCACAAACCTGGAACCTCTGCCTGTGAACGGGGGCGTTTCAGGTCAGGAGGATCTCCTCCTCTGGGGTGTAAACACCGCTGTGGTGGCCTAAGCTCCAGCACGGAAGCTGATTAGTGGCCAGATTTACCTGGATCAGCCCCACCAACCCCCCACCACCCTGAGCTGCTACAGGGCACTCCTATATAGCCTGGGCGCCCCCTAGTGGCGGTTTGGAAGGCGGCAACAGAGGGAAGCAACCCCGAGACCAATAAATTACAACTTTTATTGAGCCCGAAAATCCACAGAAGAGACAAACCAATCTGTTCTTAAAGCAAAATAGTCCATTTCATGCAGGAGCTCGTTCCTGCAGAGCCGAATGCGAAGATGGAAACAGAGAATATGACTTTTTTTGGTGTTTTTTTTTTGGACTGGCTGGGCCTTTTTAAGCCTGATTTAGTCATACAAACTCACATACAAACACAATAACTCAGTTGAATCAAACGCTTTATTCAAGTTTTATGTTTGTAAATGTTCAGCCCTCATCAGACGTCATCATTTACACCTGATTAAAGTCTTGTTGGCAACACTTTCAAATATTAGGAGAGGCATCTCACATTGCATCCACTCGTTTTTGATGACTCTCAAACTCTTTTATGAGCTCTGAGTTGCATTTAAACCCAGTTTAGTGAGACGCTGTCAATGTTAACGCGTAAATATGTTCTTTTAATGGGTTAAAAATGAAAGAGATAGATAGATAGATAGATAGATAGATAGATAGATAGATAGATAGA